TTAAAAAAAATTGTTTATAAAAATTTCGAAGTTTAAAAAATTTCAAAAATAAATATTTCGAGAGTTTAAATTTTGTAATTTGACTTTATTTATTTCTGTTGGAAAAATAATTTTACAAGTTTTTTTGCTACAGGCTATGCGAAGAGGGAACAAGGAAGCTAAATAATAAATCGTAACTCTGTTCAATGTTATTTGTGGCTTTTATTGACAAAATTTGTGTAGCTTTACTACATAATTGTAAAAAAACATATACAAGATCATCAGTATCATTAAATAGACATAAAAAAATGTCAAATGTCAAAAAAATGTCAAAATTGTCAGAATTTTTTAAACATTTTTTTTATGTTCCTGGTATCTTATCTTACATGAAATTTTTCTTTGGGGCGCGAGTTCTGACGCACCCTGTGTGTAATGGTGTCTCAAAATTAAGACATTCCGAGTTCTGAGGGTTTAGGAGATCTTACCGGGGATAAAAGACAAATTGTTAAAAAAATCGACAACCTCTTCTTACAAAGATATCGAGGTCTGAAAAGGCAGACTTTGCATCAAGTGATCTTCAAATAAAGGCTAGGAATGTTCTTGGAACTGTAACTTTAACGCGAAGTAAAAAAATACTCAATTTTCGCAAATGGTCAAGAAAGAATCTGTATAGTTTTACTTCATCCAAGGGGTACCCCTCACAATGGTCCGCACTCAAGATGCCTTTCTTAATTTTGAGACACTGCAAGTTTGCAACTTAATCTACAAAAATCGATTTGCATTTAAGAAAATTATTACACGTTTTATTATAAATCACTTAAAAATAGAAAGCTTCGGATTTACTCACTTTAACAATTTAAATGTTCATAATTTATTCTTAAGTACTAGGTTTTGTATTCATATTACCCAATTCAAGGTTAAAGGTTATTCAACTGTTAAAAAATTCGAAAAATTTGATATTTTGAGCTTACATTCTAAAGTAATTAACGGTTTTATGAATGAATACGTACTTTCACATCATCCGAATAATTTATATCTGAACTGATTTTCACAAGGAATGTTTCTCTGAACGTAGATCAGTTATAGTAATTAAACTAGTCATTTGCGCATTTACTTATAAAAATGATTCAGCTAATTTGCACATCGCCTATGTCAATTTTCGTATTTAGATTTAGACTATGACGTTTAGAAACCTTCTAATTAAAAAGCAGATAATTTATTATTTATTTGCCAATAATGTACTTGTGAGTAATTTTTTCTTTGTTCCAAAAGCTACATTACACTAAAATTAGTCACAACATACAGGGTGTTTTGTTATTCCAGGACCGAACTCAATATTTTTTTCAAAAACATAAATGTATGCCTTATTGATAAATACTACAAGATACAGTTTTGTTCTTATAAGTTTGCCCCGCGTTGTATCATATTTTTTTGTAGACATTTTTAGATACAAAAAAGAGAAAATTGTGGTTTACGTTATCACTGTTAAAATTTACTACTTACCAAATGTTTTTACATATTTTTTGTACAAATACACATTTTTACTTGTTTTTCTCAATATTATAAAACCGGTTTATTGCGCATAACACACAATGTGTATGATCAAATAATTGACTAGTTTACCAGTCAAAAAGGTTTTACAAAGAAACTCTTTTTCTTCTATTCTTCTATTACATTTTTTTATTAACATAAAAAATTGAAAACAATTGAAGAAAAAAGGCTTATCAAGAGCCGTTCTGAAAATCTCATGAACCTACCTATGTCAAGTAAGTTCAATACCTGTCACTTATCTGTCATATTTATCAATTTTTGAAATAGGTCTTGCGTTAAATGTGGATTAAAACTGAAAGTATTGCCAAAATTCTCGGAAACACCATTCCGTGTAATGTTCCACTTACCTCTGTAGTATTACCTTAATGATTTGTCATTGGGACTCATTGCTTTGTTATATTTTGCAAAACTGGCTTTGAAAAAATTGGATAAGAAGTAAGACAACCGATTTACATTTTATAACCATCGCCATCGTTGACTAATTTAATTGTATAAAGTTGTTACAGTGTACTATTGCGGAGAAAATACTTTATCATTTTTTCTGACACTTCAAAAAAATATCATGTACACCAAGCATTAATGTCAAGTCAACATTGATGACAATTTACAATTATTGTCTTTTCTCTTGTCAAAAATATGGCATCTTTTACCTTGCTTCTGAATATATTCTGTGCCGTGCTTCTGCAGAAGCAGAAGCAGAAAGATTGGGTACAGCAAAAAGTACTGTTATACATACTATGTATGTATATTTTGTCAACAAGTGGCGAAGAACGTTTTAACAATTGTAAATTTTGACAATGAATGAAAGTAGTAAAAAAATAATAGCAATAAACCAGCCTAATGCTTGCTTTACAACTTAATGTCACTCAATTGACATTGACAACCAAAGTATCTTGTCCGCAACTGTACAAGATGTTTCACATAATTTTGCGATGCCTGCGCACAATGCACGCACTCCATTATACAAAGTCACAAACACTAGTAATAAAAAAATATAATTATCTTATATTTTTTAATCCTTGACGATGGTTGTCAAATTACAATTTAACATTCAAAAATCAAACAAAACAATTTTGTATTGAAACAACAAAACAAAGGACATTAATACACTGTGTCCGTAAATGTGATGATCAAGTTGGCTTTGAAAAAATGTCAACCTCTGAATGTGTCGCTTTTATTATGATACTGAATACTGATAACAGAAAATATATTTGACATTTGTGACAAAGACAAATTTCAGATTTACTGCATTTACTGAGGTTGACATTATTTCAAAGCCAACTTGATCCTTCAATCATTTACGGACACAGTGTATAAGGGTGTGTTTAGAATTAAAAATTGAATTAATAATAGAAGAGTGCAGGAATAGTGTAACCCAGAAAAAAAACCTTACAGTACTGTTATTATAAGTAATGCTACTTAACTCCAATACAGGGCGATTCAGATAAGATAATGAGCCTGACGATCTGGCGATGCAACCCAAAAAACAAATTTCATTTACGTCTTTGATCCAATTTGAATTAGAATTTGCAAGTTGAATCCAAGTTATCATCTTGTGTCACTCTGACATCAGAGCAGAAAACGATTATTAATGTCATTCAGTTCTCGCGGAATGATAGAGAAATAAGAGAAGTATTTTCGGTGTAAACCCAATACAAAATGTATGAAACAATGAAACATGAAAGGTAGGCAAACAGTTTTTTTTATAAATCATAAATTGCTTGTCAAAGCACTATCAAAGCAACATAAGATAACTTGGATTGCAAATGCAAATCGTAATTAAAATTAGATCAAAACGTAAATGAAATTTGTTTTTTGGGTTGCATCGCCAGATCGTCAGGCTCATTATCTTATCTGAATCGCCCTGTATGTTGGTATAAAATGTTGGTATAAAGTTTGAGAGTCACTAGTATCATTTCTTTGTTAACATAAAAATGTATTGTTGCAACAAATAAAAAACCTATCCAATGACAATAAAAGAGAAGTCACTTCATAGTTTTGATATTGTCATCATTTAATTTAATTTTTTTATCAAAATTCAAGATCTTCTGTATCACTTTTAATGAAATGGTTACCAATAGATTTGATTTGTTTTTTCTTGATTTATTTCCAGATTTATGAACATGGATGGGAAATATTAAAATGGTATGTATGTACATTAGTTGTCGTGATTATGATTTACGGCGAAGCACAGTAAGATAATGAAAGTAAAATTGTTGTAGCAAAAAAAAATCTTTGTACCTTTACTAAATTATTATAAAAAAACATATGTATACAAGATCATCAGTATTATTAAATAGACATAAAAAAGCCAAATGTCAAAAAATAAATGTCAAAATTTTTTGACAGATAGAACTTTTTAAACATTTTTTCCATGTTCCTTACTTGAAATTTTTCTCTGGGGCGCGAGTTGTGACACACTCTAAATTTCAACCACAAGACCCTGCTTAATTCTAATCTGTATGTATATCCTAATGATGACAAAGAATGTTGACATCATTTTTTACTATTTTCTTGAAGAATGTACAAATTAAAGAAGACTACAATTTTTCAATATTTTTAATCGAGTTCGTACCGGATTTGACAGTGACAGGCCTCGTAAAATTATGTCAAACACAATGTATAGTGCACTATTTTATGAATAATGTTAGGGATTTGGAAATGTTTTTGCGACGACTTTTAAATAATGTTAAACATGATTTTGCATATAAACAGGACATTTTGTGTGTTAAAAAATAACTCATACTGAAATTGTCTAGATTCGGTAATCATTTAAAAATAAAATAAAAAATAATAACAATAACCTAATATTTTTTGTTATTACCCGAACAATTTCTAATTAAAGTTAAAATAACTGTTGATAAAAACGCCATTTCACATCTTCAAGATTTTGGAAATCAGTAAGAAGAAAACCTAGAAACTACAAAAGCAGGTACATACAATAAGTGCTTCTTTAATACGACCCTGCCTTTGTGTATTTTATGACGACCGTTGCTATTGGTTGTGGTTTAAAGTTCTAAAGGGAATTAAAGAACAGCTGTAAATTAACAATACGTCCAATTTTACGTGATTTTGTTATAGATTGCTTCTCTGTATATTAAAATTATGTATAAAAATGATATGTAACAAAATCGCCTTTCTGATCTAAATTAAAGGCACCGCCCTGCATAAATCATTTTACTGTGTCAAAAAATCTATTCTTGAAGAAAAGTTAAAAACCGGAAGTAATATTTCGGTTTTTGTTCTTGGCTTAGTAGACATGTTATAACATCGCCCCCTGGACCATTACCAAATCAAATCATCGAGGTTTAAACTCATCGATGATTTCAATGATCCCGTCCGCGTATGGTTCCCTTTAAATCGCGTAGAGCCGAATTCGGCCACATGGCGTTTCCGCACTGTGACACTTCGAGTGAAAAATCGAATTGATCCAGGGCCGTATTTACTTTCGCTAGACCAATTTGACTTACCTGGGCGCCCAAACGGCCCGAATTCGTGGCTGTCACAAATAATAAACGAATAAATCACAATTTATATAATCCCGACGTCAGTTGGGGCTTTTGTTGGGTTTTACAACGGGTCCTCAAGTGATAATAAAGGAACCGCACAAATTCGAAAGGTTGAATCGATGTTTGGGAAATAACACACTGTTGACTGTCGAACTTTGGCACTCCGTGCTGGGACTTGGGACGGCCGCCTCGACCCGGGGGGCTTTCAGATCATTACAAACACTCCTCAATTAAACAGTGACTGCTTTCTGCGCGAGAATTTTAACGATTTGGGCGAAGGCACGGCCATAAAACAGCCGACTTCGAACAATGGCGGACCCGGTTTTCTACATTTTTGGAACGGCAACGCTACCTGGCGGACGAATTTCCGCCGTTTGTCAATTAATTGATTTATAATTACCTCACTGGTGGTGATTTAAATCATCGTATTCGTGACGAGACGGCATGTTTACCCAATCTGCTACATTTTATTGCCCAGATTCAAACTGTGGTTTTCACTAAATCAAGTGAAAAAAAAACTCCCACAGAACTAGATAAAACTAGAATTAACTAAACACAACATAATCTACTCATAGAACTTTAAGCTGATTTCGATGCACCCAGTAATTGCTGCCTATTGATGTCAACTAGACTTTTGTTACAAAATTAAGTTATAAATAACCGTTTTCTAAAATGACAAATTTAAAATCTTCAATTTTCTTACTTTCATGGTAATAGTACCAATCTTTTGCAACGAAAATCTCTATTTTAAGCATGTTCAGCCACATAGACTCCATTTCAAACCCATAAGAGCACTCACGCTACCGCCCCCAAAAATAATCTTTTTTTGGTCTACGATCTATTTTTTGAGGTGGTTTTGACGTGGTTGATTTTATTGCTCATTTTGAATAATTTTAAAAATGGAAGGAGTTATTATACTACATACATACTAAGTACATATTTATTATTGGCTTAATTATGGTATTTTAGTTTTAGTTTTTTTGGAACTGCAGTGGGCCATGCCATGTCATTAATATTTGCTTTTCTGGAAAATAATAGAAGTAACCAAATTAAAATTATTTTTGAAAAGATACTTTTAATGATCTCCAAGAAAACCGTAAATATGGATTGATATGTAACATGTAAATATTGACTTGTTGCTTTTGCATATTTTTTATACTTAAAAAAAGGTGCAGGATCAACATGGAGAACCCTACAAAAATAAATAAATAATAAAGACAAATATTTAGAAAATATTTTATACGATGTTTAAGTTTCTCCTGAAATCTGACATAATTAAAACAAATTAATACAGTGTGATTAAAAAGTCTGTCTATTAAGTAAGCGTAGAAATTTAAAACGTGTTTGCTGAGAAAGATAAAATGTAATAATGACAAATGAGAAATGTCAAAATAACTTTTATACAAATTATGACAGGAAACCGTGGTGAACAATTTGTATGCACCAAAAACGTCTCATTTTAGAATGTTTTGAGACCTTTCATAAAATAATTCAATTTGCCTAGTTCAATATTTTAATTTTTATAAAATATTTTTTTGACATCTAGCTAATATAAGAACTGCCTTGCGGCATAAGTCCTCAACTAGGACGCCTTCTTGATAGGAAGACTTTTTGATCGCACTGTATTACTAAAATATTTTGAGTACTAGTATTTGAGTATTAGTCTGTGGTAGAAGTCTGTCGTTTATCTTTAATTACAAAAATATCAAAAAAACAAGTCAGTAATAATTTGTCTACAAGAAACAAAGTTTAACTTATTTTCATTTTTATTTTCCATTAAAGCAAAAATATGGTTCTCAGGAAATTATAAGCTTTCTTAAAGTTGGGTATTAAACATTTCTTTGGGCCAAAAATTATTTTAATTATTTATTTATTAATTTTTGGATTGACATATTGACCATTTTTTTGAATGTCACTGTACATATAACAATTTTTACTGTACCTAATTATGCCTCTGATATATTTTTTTTTCAATGTAGAGAGTTCATTTTTCTTTTTTACGTCAACTGTTCTTTGAGATTTTACCAAATAACTGCACACAATTCGGACATTATTTTGACGAATGTTTAACAGGTATTCTTATAAACTTGGAACGTATTGTATATTGTCGTAAAATACATGAGAAACAGGCTTCAAAACGTCAAAAACGAAAATTCCTATGGGAGCCTGCCGTGACATTTCCTAAATAAACATGGCGGCTTCCAATGTCCGTGGTGTTTCTCGAGTTTTAGAAAAGCTAGAAAATTCCGTCAAAAATGGAAACTATTACGAGGCCCATCAGATGTACAGGACTTTATATTTTAGGTAAATAAGGCAGTTATGACTTTTTATAAAACACAATTCCAGAATGTTCCGTACCTAACCTCAATATTTCAGGTACTTGGCCCAGAATAAATATAAAGAAGCTCTAGACATGCTCTACAACGGTTCCCTTTTATTCCTAGAACACGATCAGGTGTTTGGTTTCAAAATCTGTCACATTTGTTATTATTTGCAAATTTGTAGCTAATCAGCGGTGCAGATTTAGCAATACTATTAGTGGATGTTCTAGTCAAGTCTGAGGAGAAAGATTATGACGGATGGACTCCAAAGTTGTGCAAAATCTTTTCAAATATTAGTACTACAACTCCTGAACGGGAGACGTTTCTAGCACAGGCTTTAAGGTGGTCTTCTAATCATAGAAGTTTTGGACACCCTTTCCTACACCAAGTGTGTTTCAACGAAATTTATTGTTGCAGTGATCTAAGTTTCGGTATTTTAGTGCATAGCGCAAGTTTATTGGAACGAGAAAAATTATTTCCAAGCTCGCCACCATTACATCTATTCTAAAGATGGCCAAGGCTGTGCGAAATTATTAATTGAGTTTCAAAGTACACAGGGCTTTCAGTGTGAAGCAGATTTGTTTATTGCACAAGCAGTGTTCCAGTATTTATGCCTAAGTAATAAAATCACAGCTTATCAGACTTTCACAAGCTATACTGAACAGCATCCTCGGATAAAACGATCAGGGCCCCCATATCTACTGCCTCTACTCAATTTCATCTTCTTTTTATTACAGGCCATTGAAAGGTAAAATGCGGTAGAAAGTCGTGCCATAATAATTTGAGTTGATTTGTAGTCGAAAACTACCCACTTTTGTAGTACTATGTGAACAATATGAGCCGTCCATAAAGAGGGATCCTTGTTACGTGGGGTATTTGGACAAAATAGGTCAAATATTCTTCGGTCTCAAGCCTCCGCAACAAAAACAGGGCGGCCTCTTTGGGAATTTTTTCGAATCGTTTTTGAGGGGTTTGGACGATAGTGACGATGAGGCACCTCAAGCCTCCACGTCAAAACCTCCAGAAATGTTGCACACTGAACTAGACTAGTAATGGGTTTTAAATTGTTTTTCTGGGGATTTTTTATATGATGAATCACGTGTTGTAATTATTCAGTAAGTTATTTAAATTATATTGTAGATTATCGGATTACATACTTACAATCAAATTGTATTGTTTAACTTTTTAAGTTTTTACAACATTTAAAAAATCACTTTGTAAATGGATATATTATTATATGCTATAATTATTATGTAATACAATTAATTGCGGAACTTTGTGAAGTAGGATGTCTTGAAAAAACTTCAGGCTTATTTTCCTTTCAGACTGATGAATTGTGTGTTTTTTTTAAGATATCTCTTTGTCATTGTTATCCATGATATATTCCTTTTTAAATTTTATTTAAATGCTTGTAAAATAAATTTTATCAGTTACTTTTTGATATCATTTGTAATCATTAGATTTGAAAATCAAATCTGCACGTCATTCACATTGTTTGACTTAATTGTCCTCGAATGGTGGTGTTAATTGTAAAAGAAAACATTGCATGAGAAACATTTAACCTATTTTTATTAGTTTATTTCAAAGCAGCACTTAAATTTCATTAAGTTGCCACACAAGTAAGTAATAATTAATTTTTCTCCATAATAATAGACAAGACATCATAGGTTCATTTTTCAAAAGCTAAAAGGAAAATTGACTTCAAAAACGATTTCCAATTAAAATATATTTGTCAAATTACGGAATTATAAGAATTTTTTGGTTTCATATCTTTAATTACTGACGCTGTGACTCAAAACACGATTTTGTTTGAGATAAACCAAAAAAAGTGTAGGTACAAATCGCTCACCTAACCCATTCATTAAATCATTACGTAAGAGAAATTAATATTTTTTTTTATTCCTTAGTCGTAATTGTTATTTGGGTTTTTTGATTCGGTAATTTTTGGGTTGAAGTTTTTGTCGCAATTTTTCTTAATGTTATTGTTAATTTATGTTTTATTTGTCTGTAGAATTTTTGATAATCGCTTTGTGTTAGTCCAGAGAAAATGAAATTTAATGCAATTTTCTGTTATACCATTTATCTATAAAATGTAACTGAAGAGTGTTTCTTTTTACCATAAAAATCACAAAAACTTACCGTATTGTAATATACCAGGTGAATAAAAAGTATGGAACCAAAAAACTAATTGATGAACGATAAAGTACTTTAATGATATGATGTTTTATCAAGAATAAAATTTTTCAAATTTTTTTTTTTTTGAGTTCTACAAAAAAATTTATTTTTTTAAATAGCAACCCACTATAAAACAATTTTTCTCATAAAGGTTATGATCTAAGGATTACAACTATCTATTTTATATTTAATTTTTTCATTAATTGCAATTTTGACTAAAAGAATTGCATAACTCAAAAACAAGACAAAATTTCGTTCTCAAAATACGATCTCATTTTTTATATTAGGTTAATTTATATTAATTATTATTTTCTGAAGACAAATGATTTAAAAAACCGCTTAGTTCCATACTTTATATTCACCCTGTATGTATTTTATCTTTAATTGCTTATAGGAGTTATAGGGTATGTCAGAAAAAAAAATTTGCTGTCTCTAACCTTGATCTTTTTGCTGACACTTCTAGTTAACATAAATTTCATTTTCGTCATATAAAAATCCTAGAAATGGTTTGAACTTGTGAATTGTTTTTTATGTAAAAGTAAAATACCATCACTTTTAATATGAATTTACTTTTCAAAGTGGCCTGTGATGGTGATCTGTGAAATTAAGTTGGCACCATTTTTTTTTTCAGTTTTATTCAAAATAAATTTCAATCAATAATTTATACATAAAACGTATATATCAAACAAAAAAAAAATAATTAAATCATCAATATTCGGGATATCCCGGCATCGGGAATTTACAACTAAACTCTTCAATTTGAGCTCTCAAATCCGCCACCTTCTTCTTAACCTCCTCGTCACATTCAATTGTTTTCTTGAAATCCACCAATTTGGGCCCCGATTTGGCACTAATTTCTTTCGCTAATTTCAATGCTTTATCAATATACTCAACAACTTGATCCATATCTTTCTCTACCAGCCCCCTTGTGGTCAAAGCCGGCGTTCCCAACCTAATTCCCGACGGATTTAAAGCGCTCTTATCTCCCGGAACCGTATTCTTATTACAAGCAATCGAGACTTCTTCCAGGATAAACTCAGCCTTTGCCCCCGTAAGCCCCACATTCCTCAAATCGACCAACAACAGATGGACTTCGGTACCACCGGTGGCAATTTTGTACCCCTTCTCCTGTAAGCCCTTACAGAGTCTCTTCGCATTTGCGATAATCTGCTTCTGGTACTCGACGAATTCGGGCGTCGTCGCCTGCTTCATAGTAGTGGCAATGGCTGCAATGGTGTTGTTGTGAGGACCTCCTTGGAGGCCGGGGAAGACAGCTTGGTTGATCTTCGATTCGAGGTCGTACATAATGGGTTCGCCCTTGGCGTTGTGCGATCGCACGCCCTTTCTGAAGAAGATGACACCGGCTCTGGGGCCTCGCAGACTCTTGTGTGTGGTGGTACTGACCACGTCGGCGTACTCGAAAGGACTGGGGGTGACTCCTGCGGCCACCAATCCGGAAATGTGAGCCATGTCGGCCATGAGGTAGGCGCCGACTTCGTTGCAAATCTCGCGGAAACGCTTGTAGTCGAGGGCGCGGGAGTAACAGCTAATGCCGGCGATGATGATACGGGGTTTAAACAAGCGAGCAGTTTTGGCGAGTTGCTCGTAGTCGATGAGGCCGGTTTCGACATCGACCTGAAATCAAATACAAAAATATTACATAAAAACAGCAAAAATATGTAAACCTTATTGTCATGTTAAACATGATTTCAAAACCACTCTGTAAAATTATGGAACAATCTTATTAAAACTGAAAATATTTTGTTTTTACAAAAATGCTTGAACAAGTCAATTTTCTTTTTAAAAATATACAATTTTCAATTTGATTTAAAATTTTGCAATTTTTGGTTTTTGAGTAATATCATCGCCTTTTTTTAAATGGGAACCCCTAATGATTTTTAGACAATTCGATAGATCTTTTAATTGTTAAAATGACAACATTAAATATTACAGTTTTCGAAAAAAAATCATCAAAAAAGTGAAATAATATCAAATGAGTCCCTGAAACAGCTATTTTCAGGAACGTATACAAAAAAGATAATTGTTTATAAAGTGTCATAATTGAAATCAAGATAATTAATCCGAATTTTTACATTATAACATCCTGTTTCACACCAAATTCGAAAAATTCTTTTAATCTATAAGTAGATATACAGGTGCGCCAGAACTCGCGCCCCAGAGAAAAATGCCGTGTAAGGTTCTAAGATATCAGGGACATGAAAAAAATGTTTAAAAAAAAATTAATCTATAAAAATTTCGAAGTTATGAGAGTTTAAATTTTGCACTTTGACTTTATTTATTTCTGTTGGAAAGATAATTTTCCAAGTTTTTTTGTTACAGGCTATTAGAAGAGGAAGCTGTATCCTAAATTGTGACTCTGTTCAATGTTATTTCTGGCTTTTATTGACAAAATGTTTGTAACTACTAAATAATTGTAAAAAAACATATACAAGTTTATCAGTATCATTAATACACATAAAAAAATGTCAAATGTCAAAAAATAAATGTCAAAATTTTTTGACAGAATTTTTTAAACATTTTTTCCATGTTCGTGGTATCTTATCTTACTTGAAATTTTTACCTGGGGCGCGAGTTCTGACGCACCCTGTATAAATATCTTATCATTTTATTTACAACACAAAATTTGAATAGCCACTTCACTGATAATTAGAAGCTGTCTAGATTTTAAGTAAAAAATTGATTTTTCTCTTATCAAAATCGTCTTATTTCTAAAATTGGCATAGGCGTGTACCTAATACTTATTTTTTCACTTCCTAAAATTAATAATTATTTTTGCACGGTAGGGAATAGAAATCAACTTTGACAGATGTCGAAATTCTTCTCCGAAGGAAATAAGTGAGCGTAAGTCATTGTTAGGCTCATTGTCAACAACATTTTTATTGTTACCATGGTGGAATTTCAAAGACTTTATGCTAATTTTTGAAACAATTGTCAAATAATTTGTCAAAAAATTCAGTTCATTCAATTGCAATTCTAAGAGTAAAAGTGATATTTCATTTATTTTATTCCCGACATAATAATGTATCAGATTATTAGTAAAAACGAGGGAATAAAGCTTCATTTTATTCCCTGGTGGGGGGAAAAAATAAATGTCGATGCACAAAAAACTGTCGTTGATTTATATCATAATAAAAAAATAATAAGAATTTTAACATCCTGTTTCGAGAAATTCTTATAATTTATAAGTAGATAAATATAAATATCTTATCATATTATTTACAACACAAAATTTGAGTAACCACTTCACTAATAATGAGGAAATGTCTAGATCATAGGTATGAGATTGATTATATCTTATCAAAATTATCTAATTTATAAAACTGCTAGATCTAAGCTTTCAATATTAATTTTTTCACTTTTTAACATTAAACAACTTTAATATAATATAATACAGGGTGCGCCAGAATTCGCGTTCCAGAGAAAAATGCCATGTAAGGTAAAATACCGGGAAGATGGAAAAAATGTTAAAAAAATTCTATCTGCGCTTAAAATAAATGTCAAAATAGAACTTTTTAAACATTTTTTCCATGTTCCTGACATCTTATTTTACTTGATATTTTTCTCTGAGGCGCGAGTTCTGAAACACACTGTATTTTCTTTCATTCGCTATTTTTTGACATTACAGTAATGACATTATCTTATTTGACACGATGTAACTAGATTTTCTTAACTTTAATTAAGTTTTTTTCAAATATTTTTTTTAAACAATAATTTTTAATAAAAGTACATTTTGCACTTGTCTGTACTAAGAGAACTTTTTTTGTCAGAATAACATTTTCTATCACTGGTTTACTTATGGAGGTTTGCTGTTGGGTTGCGACAAAAAAATCCCTCTCATGAATAACCCTGTAGATAAGCACTTCAACTTTAATATTCAATACTCAAACACTCTTATTGCACAATTTGATAAAATTGTGGGAATCCAGAATTTGTTAAAATATAAACAGGAAATGTAATGTTTACTCAATTGATTTTTAAGAAAAGCCAATGATTAAGAATGCTTTTTTACAAAACATTACCTTGTATGGCATTGATTCAAAGAATATAGAGGTGGCTGAAATTTTCTTTGTTGCAGTGAAGAAACCATGAGTCAAATGGCCCCCATCTGGCAAATCCAACCCCATGATACGACCATGGGCCTCAACCAGACCTAACAACAAATTGTTACAAATAAACCTCATCAGATTTGAAGAAAAACCTGTATAAACAGCAAAATTGGCAGGTGAACCGGAATACGGCTGCACATTCACACCCCATTCCTCTGGATTTAGTCTATAAGCTTCTAAGGCACGTTTTTGAGCTAAACGTTCAATTTGGTCTATAAATTGGTTGCCCCCATAATACCTGTCATTGGGATTGAAGGGTGAAAAAGTTAACATTTTAATAACGAGTACCTTTGTCCTGGCAAACCTTCGGAATATTTGTTATGCAGACAAGTGCTTAAACATTGTAATACGGGAAGTGAAGTAAAATTTTCCGAAGCAATCATTTCTAAACCGGTCAATTGACGTTTTTTTTCCTCTTGGATAATAGCAAAAAGTTCAGGATCGGAATCCCAAACGTTTGAATGTAAGACTTGTTGACTCATTTTCCTTAATTGGGTTACAGTCAATCGTTGTAGATTCTGAAAATTTATATTTTTTATTAAAACATTCATTTTTGACAAGAATGTGTAAAACGTTCAAAAAAGTAAGGTTATGTGGTCCTAACCTCAAAACTTTAAACTCGAATTATTTGCAATTTTCGGGCAGTATTTAAAAAGAAGTTATCACAGAACTGTTTCACTAGTCACACTGATGTTCAACCAATCGTTCAAAGCTTCTTAAGAAATGTTTTAGAAAAAGTGAATCTTGATAACCTCTCTTTTATCAAAATACATGTTTGAGGTCACAGGGCCTCAGAATAGCCCAATTAAATGACGTTCTCGGTTGCTTAACTCGAAAACATCGTTGTTTGTTTCAATTTGCGCAAAATGAGATGTTATTTCACGAAGAATTTGTTAAAATTGTGGTTTACTTACCCAACTGTTCAACAGGTGGTTGGCGGTCGAAAAAGCGCGCGAAAACATTTTGAATTCGAAGGAATGAAAAAAGTGAACTTTTCGACAGGGCGAAGAGGCCAAAAAAGAAGGATTACGTTTACTATTGCGCTGCGTTAACCTCAGGGTGACGATAAGGACAACGGCCCGCTGATTTATTGAAATGGTGGAATGTTATCACTAATTACTCAATTCCCTATTTTGCTACAGATTTGAATCTTGGTGGTGACGAAAATTATCATGTTGCAATAATTTCGATCGAGTACGTGATTTTTCCAAGAAAACAATTTTATTAATAATGCAAATTGTGTCGGCGATGTGAAGAAAAACACGGGCGATTTAGAGTACCATTTATGGATTTATGGTAGAAACAAGTTGTTAATGCAACGGGTAACAATGTTATTGGAGGTATTTCACCTTAGTGCAAGTTCAGTGAAATTATAGAAAGTGATCGATTAGAATTCTGTTCTAATGCATCACGTATTTAGGTAAATTTTTGGGGATTCTAAATAAGGAGCCTTAAACTGATTTGGGAAGGACACATATGGTCCTATTTTCCTGATCATTTGAATAATTGTGATAAGAAATTAGAAAATTGGTACAATTTCTATCCGCAAATGTATGTACGAGATGTAGAGACATTAAAAAAGGATTTGTGAATGTTAGACTTAATTAACCTAATACAATTATTTAATAATTGAGTGGAGAAATAAGGAGACTAATTTAAAATGATAGGTACCTTTTTTTCAGTTTTTTCAATTGAGTCATTTGGTATATCATATCCCAATGAATTATGCTAATTTATTTTGTTACAACCAGTAT